TTTTTTTTTTTTTTTTTTTTTTTTTTTTGAACAGCAATAATGCAAAAAATGTTCACAAGACGTCTGATTAGGATGCAGAACGAAAATTTCTTTCTCAATATCTTCATTTGGATATTGATACAAAATTTAGATGATTCATATAATTTTTTTCTTCCCAGTAGCATCGTGCATTTTTTCCGCTCAAAATGAGATGTGCATACATAAGAGATATTGGAGATAAGAGGAGAATTTGAATAAAATGCATTATAAAAAAACATCCATTGTTTACGTTTAATGTTTAACATTGATGAGAAGTTATTTATGAATACATAAAAATATAACTTTTAAATAGAATATATTAAAAAGGAAAATGAGATGCATAATTTGAAGGTTTATTGTGTCAGAAATTTTTTTATCGAATTATATATATACAATTATTTATGATGAAAAGAAATTGGAATATTTAATATCGAAGAATACTTTCATGAGCTTTCTCTCTCTTATTTCCTTCATTCTTCTGCAACCAATATGCAGATGTATTTTCGCTATCCACGCGTTGATTCTCGATGAGAAAATTCCCGCTTTAGGAAATCCTATTCGAGCCATAATCGAGATTATGCTGAGAGATGTGCCACAAAAAGCAATTTGCGGTAGAGAGTTAATAATATATAATTATTTATTTTTCTTCAGGAGATCAAAGTGAACAAAAAATAACAAAAGTCGACGTTCATCGACCCCGATTCGGTTGGCGACAAACTTCGGCTCTTTTTCCTTCTCGAGGCGAGATGTGTGCTTGAAATAATTTACTTATTAATGTCCATAAGGCACATTTCGCACATCTCGTTACCCTTATTATTCTGTTACCAAATTGAACTAAAAGCGCTAAAATCTGAATAATAATACTGAAACATATTACAGATTGTCTTTAATTTCTATAAAGCAAAAGTTATCAATATTTTCAGTGAACGAGAAAACTTTGCAATGATCTCGTACATCTGATTAATCGAATCTTTCGAAAATTTTTCTTGCGGATAAAGGCAGATTCGAAGAATGCTAAAGATAAAGTCACAAAGACTATCTGTAAGAGGCATAATCTAAATAAAGTTTAATATTTCTTTTTGCGTGCGATTGGACTTTAATCGTTGCTTAAATGATTATATAACGCGATTCTTTATTTTTATTATAGCAGTATAAACAGCAACGTTTTCTTTATATGGTAAAAATAAAGGATAGCATTTATGCATTGAAGCATAATTTATCATTCAGTTCTCAAGCGACGAGAACGTATTCATAACGAATATGCAGCATGACATAATCGTTTCGTTTATGGAACGTCAACTAATTTAATACGATTCCATATTCTTTTAGTCGGCATGTAACCGGATCGAGTGCGTGGTCCTTATCATTTCATTTCCGTTGTTGCTCATCGCACGAGTAGAGACACGAGACCTCGAAATTTCTTGACTCAATCGTTGTTTTTTATAATTCGGAGATTAACGCAGATCACTACTTTTATATAACTGCGAGATTAATATATCTCTTATCACATTAATGTCATATAGCATACATATATATTTCCGCAAGATTTCATACAATTTTCTCGTAAATTATTCAACAAAATGTATATTTGTAATCGTCTTTCATTTCCATTAGAAAGCTCTTAAAGGCATTTTTCCTCGAATTTCCACGGACGTTCGAAATCGCCCGTTCTAAGAATATCCCGAGAGTAGCTTGCGTAAGAGTGTATTGATGGCTCAGTAATACAAGCGGAGTGGAAATGCAGCCGGTATACGTGCTGCGGTCCTCGTGGGCGCTACTTCTCGACATGACATCACGATGAGCTCGATGCGCGATGCTAACGAGTTCATCGGCTGACTAACAATGACGGAATCGATTTATAACTTTGTCCCCGATGTTGAATAAGGATGATCTGCTTTTCAGCATCGTCAACTAGGTCTCAAGACTTTTTCTCTGAAAATTGTTTATTTATTTTTCAACGAGTCTCTTCTTTTTAAAGAAGGATAACTTTGTAAAAATATGACAATTAGAAATATGTGAATTCTGTGATCGCATTAAATTTACAACTATTATTTCTTTTTTTCATCTAATCACTAATTTAGCTAATTATTATATTTCAGATGTCCTGGTACTTACCGTCGCATCCAACGAGACGGATGGCTTCCAAAGATACCTGAGGTCGGTCGAGGTCTACGGTCTTCGCGATAACTTGAAGATTCTCGGGCTAGGCGAGCCATGGAGAGGTGGTATCAACATGAATTATCCCGGCGGTGGATATAAAATTAATCTTCTCAAAAAAGCCTTAGAGGATTATCGGAACGATGAGAAAAAAATCGTCTTATTCACCGATAGGTTAATATATTGTAATGTTGCGGAAAAAAAAAACATTTTCTAATGCATACAGAACATATATATATATATATTTCCTATACATTTCCTATACTTTCAGTTACGATGTAATATTTCTTGGCGGTTTGTCTGCCATCGTCGAGCGATTCCTGGATATTGATGCTCGAGTCTTATTCTCCGCGGAAGCTTATTGCTGGCCGGATAGATCGTTGGCGCTTCAATATCCGTCCGTATCTCGGGGTAAACGGTACCTGAACTCCGGAGGTTTCATCGGATACGTGTCTGATGTGTACGAGATCCTGGACAAGGCGTTGATCAAAGATGAGGACGATGATCAGTTGTTTTATACGACCATCTACCTACAGGACGCGCTTAGGATGCGACATAAGATCAAGCTGGATCACAAATCCGAGATATTCCAAAATCTCAATGGTGCGGTAGGTAAGGGCTAACGTGAATCCGATATAAGGAGAGCATCGCGTGATATTAGTTATAATTTAATTGTTATTACTGTCGCGCGATTTTTACAGCCGATGTGGAGCTCAGGTTCAAAGGAGAAGAGGCTTATCTTCAAAACATTGTTTACAACACGGTGCCCTTAATACTCCACGGCAACGGGCCTAACAAGCTGGTTTTAAATTCCTTGGGCAATTATCTGGCTCATGCCTGGACACCGAAAGAGGGATGTTTGGCTTGCTGGGACCGAACCATCGAACTCAACAAAAACTCGACGGAAACATATCCGATTATTTTAATAGCCATATTCATCGAACAACCTACGCCATTCTTGGAAGAATTCTTTCAAGCTATCTATCGTCAAGCCTATCCAAAATCGAGACTGCATCTGCTCGTTCACAACAATGTGCCTTATCACCAAAGCGTGGTCTCTGACTTCTTCGAGAGAGTTAGCCGAGAATATCTGAGCGCGAAACAAATATCTATATTGCCGAAAGACGTAATCAGCGAAATTGACGCGAGAAAATTAGCGTTGTAAGTGTAATGATTTGCAATATTTATCTATTATCTATTATCTAAAGAGTTAAATGTTAAAAATTGCGATTTAATATTAAAGCGAGCGTCATTTCTAAAAATGTTAAAGAGCGATCTATTTCGTAGGGAGCATTGCTTGTTGAAGGAGTGTTCCGGATATTTGTCAGTTGACGCGGTCGCGCACTTGGACAATGAGCACACGTTGAAGTTACTGGTGGAGCAGCAGAGAGGGATCGTCGCACCCTTACTTATTCGACCAAATACGTTATGGAGCAACTTTTGGGGCGCTGTAACGAATGACGGATTTTACGCGCGGAGCTTCGATTACATGGAGATAATAAAGAACGTACGCAGGTATAGTGAATTCACAAATATCAATTTTTTATATATATTTTGTCTTAATCGACTATGATTGTATGCCCATTACTCATTGATTCTGCTTTAGAAGAAAGCAGTTTATTATTCTAGATAAGACATTTCGCGATTTTCTAAGCTCGCTTTTCTCGCGATTGGGATTAAAAAGATTTCTTTTAATTTTTTATCAGGACAATTTAGTTTTTTCCATCTCTCCATATAAGTTACAATAAAAATACATATCGTTCTAAACCGTTTTCTTAAGATCTATCGCTTCCTAGTGTCTATTACAAAAATTTTAAATGTTACCTGGGATTTACATGTTTTACCTAGTTTATGAGTTTATTTCGGATTTCTCGTACTAATCAAAAGCGATGGAGAAGTCAGTCTTGAAAGACCTTCGATCGATGCTGTACATGTTGTCTGCCGTGCACTCGTAAACCCCGGCGTCCATTTGAGTGGCGGGATCGATCTCGATTTTCGATTTCACTTTGTCAGTTCCAACTTGCCACTCGTGTATCTGCAAGGAAATGAGATATAATTTCAGCGATAGAATATCATAATTTATTATCGAATATAAATATGTGTCAGCTTGTTTATGCTTGAAGATTTTTTTAACGAGAAGAATCTCTCTTTAAGCGCAAACACGAGATTAATATTTTTTATATATATAGAATTTATACTGACATGTAGATAGTGATGCGTGTAAATCTCGGCACCATCCTTGAACCACGTGATCTGCGGACGCGGATTACCTTTAGCGAGACAAAGAAAAGCTATTTTGTGTCCCAAGACATATTCCAGATCGAAGTGCGATGCCAGAATTATCTTGGCTCCCTAAAATGATTAATATACCAACAACAATTTTAATCTGGCATTAGAAAAATGCGTAATAAAGAAAGGCGAAAAAAAATTAAGCGGCTCCTTTTAGGCACTCTTCTTTTTTACGTACATCGTGATGGTTGTAATATTGATCACTTTCCGGATCACGGTACTTTCCGGTAATAGGCAATCCAATCTGCACACGAGATTTGCTTCTACCTCTTGCTCGGCCTCTTCGACCAAGCGTCTCTTGGCAATTGAGCAATAATATACCCAACAGGATCAGTAACAGCATAGAACGTGACATGATAAATCTAATAAAAGCGGAATCAAACATTAATCCATAATATTTTCTATACAGTTTTTGAAATTGCAGATTCGAAATCATTTAATCGATTTTCAGGTCAAAGGAGCGATTGAAATTAACATTACACTTGCACAAATCGAAAAATTAAATATTATTATTATATATTTATATAGCGTATAAAATGGATGTTGGAAATCCTGCTCAATTGAAACGTATTTATATCATAGCGAATGCATTGAGGATACTCACCGTATGTAGCAACGTTCGTCGATCACACGGAACTCCGATGCGACTGACAGTCACCTACCTACTCATTACTCCCCTAGTGTCCTCTCGTATCTATTACAGACTTATATGCAGATAAACTGTCTATGCGCTATACGTACAGTGGTTATTCCTTTGGTCCACATGATCACCATCAATTTCTATCAAATCTACGGACCGCTTATCCATTAATTTAACGATATCCATTCCTTCCGGATGATTCACATTTTCGGTTCGGCGATTTTGCGACATTTTTTGCGTTTTTACATTAATTGTCTAACGCAAAAGACACGGTTTGATTGAAATTAAAATTCACGAGAATAAATTATATTGCATATATCGAGAAATCAAAATTGAAGAAAAATGGAAGGAACTACGGAAAAAAAATAAACATGCTCACAACGCATTTGTAACACCCGTACTAATTGTTTATTTCATGTTTGCTATAAATCATTACGTTCGCCAATGGCAACGCAGCGAAATATGCCCTTCCATACCACTTTTCGTGTCGCGGCACGACACAATTACCTTGTTAAATTTGCAGTGATGAACCATTTTCGATATGTTCCTCACGCTACCCTTTATAATACTCAATCATGCTTTAACGAATAAGAATTGGGAGGGGAACCTCCTGCATCTCTTTGCATATCTCATTGACAAACTAAATGAATCTGTTTTGCTCGCGTTAAAGAAAAAGGAAAGCTATATTTTGTCATGCAAAATATTTTACGATGCATTATACATTTGCTATATAAATTTTATATCTGATGTTGATATATATGTTGTAGAACAGATAGCCGCGTAGAGGAAGAGGCGAAGAAAGTGCTTGAGTCTATTTTATCAATTATATTTATAATTATGTGTGAATCCAATTTCTTAGATCATCTAACGATGATCTTAAGAGATTTCCCGTTTTTCGCGTGATGTTTCGATCAGTAACTAATAATGCATCTACTTTTCATCAGGTAAAAATCTATCAAATAGTAAATATTTTCGCAGTATAACAAATATCTATTAGCTATTGTTGAAAAAATATTATTTATTCTATTACACTATGCGGTCGCGGAGCTACGATCGGAGAACGCGTTTAATACGAGATCATGACGTAGTCCGTTCTGAAGCCCCGACGATCGACGGCATACTGATTATCCGCCTGACATTCATAGTATCCCGCGTCCTTCTGCGTCGCAGGATCAATCTCCATTTTCGACTTTATCGTGTCGTTGCCGACGGGCCACTCGTGCACCTGGCGATTTAAACGATTCCCTCGATTTTCTCGTGGTCGTTTGTGATAAATATTCTCTAAATTATGGATTCTTTTTAGGACGGCGAATATCTCCCCTTTAACGGCGGATTGAGACCTACCTGGAAAAATTTGTGATGGTACATCTCAATCCCATCCTTCAGCCAAGTGATTTCCGGCCTAGGGAAACCGGTGGCCATGCAGAAGAACGTGATCTTCCTGCCCAGCATGTAATCCAGTTCAAAGTGCGATGCTTTCACGATCTTAGCACCCTGCGAAAAACCCGTTATCAGATGATTCGTCACTAAACTGTTCTAATTATATCCTTCCCAACTATCATATTTAGCATGTCTCAACTCACATCTTTGTTCTCGTAATAATGCGCGCTGGCGGGATTCCGATTAGGTATCAGGATGGGCATCCGCGAGCCCCATATTCTTCCTCGGTTGCGACCTCTCCCTCCTCTACCTCCGCCGCCCTTCTGCGCTTCTGTGCTCATCATTAGGGCCGTTAATAGGAACAGATAGAGTAGCCGGCATCTCGTCATTTGTTCTACAACCAGAGAGAGAGAGAAAGAGATTCTTGACGACCGGGATGACCAACGACGCAGACGAACTTGTTCACGCGAACACTTTATATACCTTTCGAACTCGTCTATCACTATTATATACGCGGACCATAATCCATCACTTTATTTTAATATATTATATTATATTATATCTATTGGCGATTGGTGAGAAATTTGATGATGAGATGAATGAGCTGCATTCCGCGGACAATAATAATGAAGGTACTTTATAATGGAACCGTGCGCGTGTTTCATGCTATTTATGCAATGTACATCTGCTGTGGTCTTACCGGAGGATTTGAAGGACTTGGCTAATCCCTGACACACAGAAGGTGGAGACCGGATCCGCTAGACCCTACCGCCTAAAATACGAATGGACCACACGACGCACGACGGATACACGCAGTCACACGTTGGTGTGATAAGTGTTATGAATCTCAATTGGATAATTATGCATAACCCATTGCCAAGTATGTTCATCGGCCAATCGCGGCTACTATAAAATTACAACGATCACCTTACAAAACACTTAAGCGATGACCTCCGCAAAACAACACGACGTTCGCCACAGGCGGACAAATACGTCTGCTTGTGCCGCTTGTTGCACGCGCTCTCGTTTCCGTCGTCTCTCGACTCGCGCGGTTCGTCGAATCACGTTGACACATCTGTTTCAGGGGACTGTGGAACGTGCCGTTCGTCAGTAGCTGTTACTTGATCAACGCAACCATTATAGCAAACAAGGCGACTCGACCGTCCTACGAGGATGTCGATCTGGATACGGAATTGGCCTTCGCCCAGGGAAACCGACAAAAGGGCCTGTTCATGTACCTCAACAACAGACTCGAATTCGGCCACCTCGTCAATCCTACTACCTACGACATTCAGCTTACCTACCCGGATATGTACCAAATTATGGACAACAAGCTGGACTGGGAGAGAAGATATATTCATCCGAATTACAGCGAGAACTTTAATCCCGATAAAAAACCAATACAGGTAAATGGTTTCGTTAAAGCTTTCTCCGAAATAATGCTACTTTTGTCATTTGTTTAACTGCTTATACAATTTTATTGTTTGCAGCCGTGTCCCGATGTTTATTGGTTCCCCATCTCTACTCTCAGATTCACTAATGAACTTATTGGGATCGTCGAGACTTACGGACAATGGTCTGATGGGTCTAATCACGTAAGTCAATTCTTTCAGTCATTTATTAATTCATAGTTCAATAATGTAATAGAAATCTTTGTATTATACATTAAAATTTTCGACAGGACCCACGCTTGACGGGTGGTTACGAAAGCGTACCGACCCGTGATATTCATATGAATCAAGTTCAATACGAACAACAGTGGTTGTACTTTTTGAAAGAATATGTTAGACCGTTGCAGGAGCTCGTCTTCATCGGCTACTATCATGATGTAAGATTCATTTGTGTATGCCGGATCTTTTTTTAGGATTCTCGACTGGAGTCCGGATACGAAGCGGTACCGACTCGTGATATTCACATGAACCAAGTCGGCCTCGAGGACGCCTGGTTGAAATTTCTCAAAGATTACATCAGTCCCTTGCAACAGCATGTCTTTACAGGATATGAGGATTACGTAAGATTCTGAAATCCTGGTATACGGAAGTGATCTTAACATGCACACAGATTTCGCAATGCACTTGGGTATACGCACAGCTTTCGGGTTATACACGATTTGCTCTTGTAGTCTGGTTATACCGCTTCGTAACGGATGAAATTGGAAGAGATTTTTACATCATATGTAAAATTATGTCGATAAAATTTTATTTTTATTACTGTAGATCAGTCTAGTTCGAACCGTTTGCCATATTAATTTAATGTCAACAGCCACCACGGTCGCTTATGAATTTCGTCGTAAGATACCGCCCGGACGAGCAACCACTCTTGCGGCCACATCACGATTCCTCGACCTATACCATCAACATTGCCCTGAATCAGGCGGGTGTAGACTACGAGGGCGGTGGATGCAAGTTTATCCGATACAACTGCTCCGTCACCGACACGAAGCCGGGCTGGATGCTGATGCATCCTGGAAGATTGACACACTATCACGAGGGACTGCGAGTGACCGCGGGCACGCGTTACATTATGATCTCCTTCGTGGATCCGTGATGCAACTCATCGTGAGACAAATCTGCAAATTATCTAACTGCCAATGTATAAAAAATACATGTTAAGAATATAAAAAAAGAAGAAAAAGCGCGAACTATCAAAGAGAAATATAATTCTATATGAACAATGTTCATTGTCAGCTAGAAACGTCAATTGCCACTGATGGACTGAATAGTGCATTTAATAGAAATGAAAATGCTTAATCAATGTATTATTTTTATACTTCAATGTAAATGCTCGTCTGAGCATTAATGTTTTTTATAGTTAATATATTACAGTAATGTATATATATAAATTGTACTAATAACATTTATTAATATTTGAACTCATCAGTCTTCAAAATATATGTGAACGAATCAATAATGTAGTTTATAATAATAAATGTTATTAAACATTGTGAATCATCATTTATATCTTTTTCTTGTTTTTTACTTTGAGACACAGGAGAAGGGTAATCTTTTAAGTTCAACGATTTTTTTGCTTTTGTTTTTCTTCATTGTATATCTATACAATTTTTTAAATATGTTACAATATTAGGAACATTCACAGGATAAATAATTAAAAGTAACGTCACCGAATAGCAAATTTTCAAAAATCGGTTTTAATTACATCCCTGCACATTTATTTACACAGTAAAAAACGTACCTCCCTCGGAGTTGATCGCGACGGTACATGTGTTGTGTTGTCACATGTGCAAAACTAACATAATTAAAGCCACGTTATTTTTTTTCACTATGGAGTAAGTACTCGTATGAATCAACTTGTTACACGGGAGTTTCAAACGGATTTAATTCGATCACTATATATATTGCTTTATCTCGCGAAATTGTTCGAAATACAGAGTGTAACAGTACTCCATCGAAGTCAATCTTAAAGCACTCCTGGTTTTTAATCACTTCGTTCGTTTAGCGCCACTTGTGTGTGTGTATACATGTTTCAATTCTGGAATGCTACGCGCGCGTGATTTAAAGTGATTTAAAATCTAGCATAAGTATATAAGAAGCGAGTAAAACGTAAAGCGTTTACGCAAAAAATATGTTTCCTTCAACCGAATATTCGGTTGATTTCTCTAGCTGCATTAAACGTTACGTAATCGCGAATGCTATAAATTTAAATTCACAATAACGTTTAAATTAACTAAGTCTTATTTACAGTTGTTTTGTTCGATTCCATAGAAAAAGATGATTATATGCGTATCATTTTAGAAACCAGCCCGTTTCAGCTCGTTCAATTGATGTGCTAATTTCTCTTCCTTGGTTCGTCTCGCTTGCCCCAGCTTCCGACACTCGACATACGTGCTGAGGAAACGCTCGACGTCAATCTTGCGGTTTAGAAAATCCTCGGCGATTTTCTCGCTCTCTTCGTGGCTCTCATCTGCAGCTTCTCTCAAACACTCTTTTATGTGATCTGGCGTGAAGACTTCGGACAATTTATTGTATCGTTGTATGAGATGATCGTATCTGGCTTTCAGCACTGCCACCGTTTTCACGTTGTCCGTCACATCAGCTTGTAGTTGCTTCAGCTCGGGTTCTTTAGCTGCGTTAGCTTCTGCAAAAAGAGATACGGATTCGTTGATAATTGATTAAAACGGAACAAATTAATATGGAAGAGAATAATATATTAAAACTATATGTATTTCATAATCTTAATATTTTAATAGCAAGAGAGATATCCTTCTTCTTACCGGCAGTTTTTTCAACCCAATCCATAGCATCCTCGATTGCTGCGTTTATGTCTTTAATTTGGGAATGTTTCTCCAGAAAATCATCTAGTTTATCTTCATCTTCGCCGAGCCTCTTCAATTCCTCGTTAGTTAAATTATTTAATTCGGGAAATATTATGCTCTGCGGAACTTTTGTCTGCGATTGACTCGACAATGGCTGCTGATAATTCGCGTTCGCGTAATGCGAGTTCAAATAAGGTGTGCCATGATGATTCGTGGTGTACCCCGTGGGTGTGGCATTGTGAAGAGCGCTGCTTCTCGAACTTGGAATATATGTCGAGTGATGCGATGTATTGCCGAACGATTTCGAAGTCGAGACGTACGTGTGACCGGAGTTTGTGTAATTATAATTATAAATGCACGTATTTGCACTGGAGGACGACAAATGTGGAAATTGCGTATTGTAATACGAATTGAATGACGTCGATGGAATTTCGACGGGATACTGCTGAAGCGAAAAAGACGGCGAATTTCTCCCTTGTAAATCTGCAATCACACAATAAAAAATATCTCATCATATCGACACACAAAGGAATAGGTAAAATGTAGTTTGCATACCTCTGTGAGGCTTAGCAGAACCAGGCGAAATATCCTCTAATAACTTCGGTGGATTCTTACTGAATTCTCTGATAATAGCTTGAACAACCCGACCAAGATCACTATGTACTGAAAACTAATAGAAAAACAACAAAATAATTATCTATTTTTAGATATATCAAGATAAAAGCACGACATAAAATAGATAAAAAAATATAAAATATAGAGAAAATAATATGAGAATTTAATTCACAAATTAATTAATTATCAGTACATGAATTTTTAACTCACATTGAGTAATCCTGGTGCACTGGTGATTTCACTGTGTTCGTTGCACCAGGGATGGCTTATCGGTGGGGAAACTCTAAGTACTGGCTTCTCCAATGGAAAATTTGGCAACAAGGAAACCATGATAGCCATTCGCCTCTCGCCAGCTTGGAATTCCACCTGATAGTCCACATTTTCTCTGAGCTCTATTACACTGCAACACATTACTATATATTACACTACACTACTACAAACACTTAAGAACAACATGACCTTGAGCCAATATTAATTATTTATTTTAACCAACTCGATTATATTTTTCCCATTATAAAACGATCATTCAAAGAAGTACAATTTATCGTGATTTGAAACTTGAAATTTTGGAAGTGTTTCTATTGTCTAATGTGAACAATAGAAACCATTTTTGTTTTAGAAATATCATTACAAAGATAAGCGTGGCGGATAATGTGATTATTTTCACGATAGGAATGGCTATTTGCGAGCAACACAAGCGAAGATTGGCAGTAATAAGTATATGAGTGAGGTTAATAAGAGGTTACGACACGACGATGACGAGAAGCTCGTCAGAGTTACTCTTACTTGTCATTAAAGATTTTCAGAGTGTCGATTTGCCGTTTGCGTTTGACCGCGACATTCTCATTTTCCCCACGGAATATTCGCGATATCATTTAAAAGCCTGGATTTCTGATAAATCATCCGCTTGATCCGTCGATCTCTCTGTCAAAGCAACCATCCAGCAGAACAGCTGTTTTAACCTCGTAGCACTTTACGTATAGAAGGACAGAAGGGCTCTATGGGAATATAACATGAGAGAAGCTCGCTTATTTGTCCTGGCACCTGGTACTACAATTTTGTGCTGTCAAATGGCGCTGTCGTCGTCTTCTTGCAGCGGAGATTCACGGAAATTCGAATTACACCTAATTACACATATGAGAGAAAATCTTTTTTTTCTTATAATTGAAAAGAATATGTAAAGTTTCTCGCGCGTAAAAACTGTGTCTTTTCCCGCGTCATAAAGTGGATAATAAATTTATACTTTTTCAGATAAGAGATAAATCTTGTGCGACGTAAATATTTCATGACTGTAACTGTGAACGAAAACAAAAACTCTGACAGATCTCCGTGGTTTCTTGGAAAGCCGTATGTGGAAGGCCCGGCGAACTTTACGATCGAGCAAAATTCGTTCTATAGTTAGATGTAAATATCTCCCTGCCCTGCCTTCTCACGCGAATAACCGCTTACACCAGTTTGTATTCTTTTTCCACGGAACTCGCGCAAAGCGCCAAAAATAAACGCGGAATCGCCAGACTGCTTGAATGTGGCTTGAATGTTCAGGAATTGTCGCGTCATGTCGTCCCTTGTACAAATAGACGGCAGCTTGGGCGAAGGAGTAAGTATTACACGGGAAATAATCCTTGAATATTGCCATCTTTCTCTTGGATAAAATATCTATTAGGTTATATATACTAAACACGATAAATATGCATTTATCTCAAAAAGTGAGAAACATTTTAAATATTTTTTTATTATTTTTTATTATATTTTTATTATTTTTAAATGTATTACTTAATTTCACTGTGAAATATTTTGTTGTAGAATTCAGTTTATTTTGTAGTTGTCAAAGTAAGTGATTCTTACATGTCATGACAGCTACACATTACTCTTTTATTATTATTGCTTGCTTTAACATTGTCTTTTATACAATTTTAATTCCTTTTTTACAGGGTGGACAAGTATTAAGGATTGCTCTCAGTTTGAGTACACTTTATGGTATTCCTATTGAAATTGAGAATATACGTGCTGGAAGACCTAAGCCTGGTCTCGCGGCACAACATTTAAAAGGTACACTATAAGTGCAAAAGGATTAAATATTTTCATTATATACATAAAATGGATAATAAAAAACTATATATTGTTGTAGGTGTGGAACTCGCCAAAGAGATGTGTAATGCCCAAGTTAGAGGCGGATATGTAGGATCGACACATTTAGAGTTTCGCCCTGGCCCATTAAACACAAACAAGCGAGAGTTTGTAGCGGATATACACACCGCTGGATGTATTTGCTTATTGGCCCAAGTAGCTTTACCATGTGCGCTCTTCTTTCCATGCAACGATATAATCACACTTGTTCTCAAGGGTGGCACAAATGTTCCCATGGGTCCACACATTGAATATCTGACAGAAGTGTTCAAGCCATTGCTGAATAAATTTGGAGCGGATTTTGATTTCATTGTTGTGAGAAGGTATATGCACTCATCTTATTGTACCTGATCTTGAATTCCCCGCCATGTTTTAATCCACTTATACTAAAATAATGACAAATGGAGGGGGTATTATCCAAAGGGAGGAGGCGAAGTGCATTTACGCATAAAACCAATTGGTAGCTTAAATGCGATTACTTTACTCGATCCGGGAGTCCCGCGAGGAATAACAGGATGGTCTTACATAGCTGGAGCGGTTAATATAAACGTATGTATCATTTTAATCGAATTTATATGGAAAAATCAAGTCAAATTTGAGTTAATTACATTGCAAATCTTCTAGGAAGCGCATAAAATGGCAAATGACGCTAAGACGATTTTAACAAATAAATTGGTAAGACGCAACATTCGAGTACCACCAATCACGATCGAAGCTTACAGGGAAGACAGAGCAATGGCTGTGGGAAACGGCTCTGGTATCAAGTAAGAAACTATTGTATATTAAAGTTCTCTTTTCTAATCTATACAATTCTACATATTAGATAAAAAAAAAACGATAGCAATATATAAATATAATATGGATATTAGTATAGTATGCAACACTAGTACTGGATGCGTTTTTGGCGGGTCTGGCTTAGGCTCTGGACGTCACGAGGCATTGCCACCAGGTGAAACGGCGGCTAACGAGATTTTGAAGCCGCTTTTAACAGGAGCATGTGTCGATGAACATACGCAGGACCAGGTAAGTGTGTCCAAAGTGGATCCAAGAAAAGCCACTTTAGTTTTCATGTTATCATATTATCATATTATTTGTTATAGATGATAATTCTAATGGCACTGGCGAAAGGTATTTCGAAGATTAAAGTCGGAGACAAGAAGCTCACTTGTCATACAGAGACCGCTATGCAGGTCACAGAAATGATGTTAGGTAAACGCGGACTCTCTTTCAATTTGTCGGAAAATGCTGAAGGCGGAGATACCTCGTCCTACGTTCTAGAGTGCCAGGGATGTGGACTGATTAATGAGAATATAATTAAACAATGACCATACGATGCTTTATAATTCGTCACTGTGCATGTTTCGACATAAGTATTATGTCAATCATAAAATTAATTGGCTCTTTGCTGTTTCAGTAAGTAAATCGTAACATCGATATTAACGTCATATACTTTCATAAACTTTCGATATTCTCTAATATTTCTAGAATTTTACAAGAAGTTTAAATAATTATTACATTTTGTTAACAATTATTGTTACACAATGTACTGCGACTTGTGTATGCTAAATCATGATTATTTGTTCAATGTATTGATCCTAAAATTAATGGACATTAAGTAGAAAGTCTTGCATCTCTCAACGAGTAAATATTGATTCATCATATGGAGAACACACACTTATTTGTTATATATACATATTATTACATACAGGATAATGTGTAACATGTATCGAAAATGCGCATTCTAATTTTAAAATGAATCACTCACATGCACACATAATTTACCACTTTAGAAAAATTACAAGGCAATGAAATTACTCCCGTTTCGCTCGAAAAAATGGTTCGATTGCTCGTAGAAATTCCTTCTCAAAGTGCTGACACGAGAATCGATTTACAGATGATCTGAAAAAAAAGTCGAGATAATGGAATTTTTTTCATATCATTTTAATATCAAATAATTATGAATATACGTACCTCGCAGCAACTCTAATAGCATTTCGTTCGTCCTGATGCATATGTATAATATACGCTAGTACTTTCGCATATTCTCCTTCGTCTTCTGCTAGGAAACCAGTCACGCTACCCTCTTGAGTTTCTATGATATCTGCTCTAGAATTGTGAAACATCTTTTAGTAAGAAAATAACCATTTTCCATTAATTTTACGGCGTTAATAATTATTTGTAAAGTTCCTAGTACATACTTTGGTCCACCAGAAGCATGAGCCACCATAATCAATCCCGCGGCCATGCATTCCACTATGCTGATACCAAAGTGTTCGTTCCACATCGTGTGCAGACCAATTGTTCCTCGTTGCAGCTCTGATACAAGTTCGGAGAATGGTATATTCAACTTGAACTCGACGTTCTCCTCTATAGCCAAATGTTTAGCCAAATCTTGCATATCCTTGACGCGCGCTTCATCCTCTGCATCTCGACAGGAACCGATACAGATTAATTTGACCTACAAATAATATATATATAATTAATTTTAGAATACATTTATGTCTCTTCTCGAGGTAAATCATTAGCTTACTCTT